GGAGGTGGCAGGTTCAAACCCATCCCCGACCAAACACTACAAAAAAAAAAAAAAAAAAAAATTGAGACATCTAAATTACCTAAGAGTTTTATCTTAATGATAGTAAATGGGTGAAATACAAACAACTAAGTAAATTCATAAAAATGGAGATATCAACAAAAAAGAAAAGCTTTAAAAAAAGAGAAATTCCTAAGTTGAAAAACACAGTGGAAAAGACTGAGAAATTTTCAAAGGTAAGAAAAAGAATATAGAATATCAAACTCACCACACTTCAACTAGGACAAACACAAAGAGACCCATAAAAAGATACATGAAGATCAAAGATTTGAAAACCACACAAAAGTATCCTGAAAGCCACTAAGAAAAAAGATGTGTCATGTCTAAGCATGCTCTTCTGAGATTACTAGGTGGATTTATCCACACACACTTTCTGTATCAAAAAAGAGTCAAAGTGCTGAAAGAACAAAAATTTCAAAACACATATACTATATGCATCAAAACATCCCTTCAATATAAACAAAAAAAATAGACATTTATCAACATAAATCAATGCTGAAAACTGCCAAATAAGAAATGTCAAAGGGGGCAGCACCTGTGGCTCAGTGCATAGGGCGCCGGTCCCATATACTGAGGGTCGTGGATTCGAACCCAGCTCCGGCTAAACTGAAAAAAAAAACCAAAACAGCCAGATGTTGTGGTGAACACCTATAGTCCCAGTTACTTGGAAGACTGAGACAAGAGAATCACCTAAGCCCCAGAGCTGGAGGTTACTGTGATCTGTGACGCCACGGCCCTCTATCCAGGGCGACAAACTGAGACTCTGTCTCTTAAAAAAAAAAAAAGTAATAATTTTAGCATTCAATGGAAGTTAGCTTGACATGAGTCTGAATAATATTAATAATACTGATATATCTTTAAGAACTTTTTATAATTTCCATTCTTCAAGGTGTTCAGAAAGAAAATATCTACAGAATTCATGTGAAGTAAACTAAGAAAGCAATCAGACTAATTACAAAAATCAATAAAACAGAAATGA